ATTTCTCCTGTTATCTGAGAAATTATTTCTGATTTCATTTTTTCCAGATCCCCTTTTGTTGCCTGTTCAGTGGGTCCAGGTGGTTGAGTATCAGAGTGTTCCATCTCATTTCCCTTTGGGGTTGCTGTAGGTGATCTGGGAGTGGGGTTTTGAGACTTATGTAAGTGTTTTCTCATTTCGACTGCGGGGGGGAGGTGCTGATGGCACCTGCAGGGATTACCTTCTCTGAGCTGGGAGAGGTCATACAGGGGCCGGGAGCAGCAGTAGGGATGGTGGCCCCAAAGCCCTTTCCTCTGGGCTTGGAGCACCGGGAGGGATGGTTGTCAGGAAACCCCTTCCTCTGGACCAGGAGCAGTGGGACGGCCTTTCAGAAGCCCCTACCTCTGGGCCAGGAGTGGCGGGACTGAGTACCATGGTTTGGTGGTCCAGTGTCCTCTGCATCTTTGTAGTGAGGAATCAGGTGGCTGCTTGTGTGAAGCGGGCTGATTCGGCGTGTTCCGTGCAACTCGACCTTGATTGGGTGTCCAAAAACCTGCCTCTAGTTCAATTCTTGTAACTCAGCAAGCTGCCTTCAGATCTTTGGTTTGGCTTCTGTGGCCAAGTCTTCAGGTTCCAGAATACTGACCTCAACTTGAAAAAACTTTGGGCTCAAATGCCAATCTCTGAATCACATTAGTGAAAATATGAAACAACGCAGTATTTGTACCTTTCTGAGGCATCCATAATTACATTTCCAGTATTTTACATTGTTTAATCAACATAAACACCAGAAGAAATTATTGATCCATTATGAAGTGCTGGGAGCAATTTTACATCATTTTTGGGAAAAATCATTTGATTAGGCCTAGTTCTCCTGTCTACAGGACAGCTATTTTGGCATTTTGAGACATAACTCCAGTTTTTCCTCTGGTCACAGCTAAGACCTCAATGGTCCAGTGATGCTGTGATGCTCCAGGACAAGATTGCATCAGCTGAAGACATCTTGGGAGGAACAAAATCTTCATCTACATAGTTCCTCATTGATCTAGGAAGTCTGCAACCCCCCAGTCATCTGTTATATTTGTTTTTCCCCATGTACTGAACTCTATGTCTGGAGTCATCTGTTATGTTTGTTTCTAGGGGGCTTTTGTCTTTGCCGCCCAGAGTAGTATTGATCAGGCCCAAAGCTCAGCTTCTTCTCAAAGTCTCATTTTTTCTACCTTTCCTGTATAATAAGTTAATTTGCCTTGTGCTGTCATGGCTCACAGGAGACTAGGACTTACTGCAGAGGTTCTAGTAACATCCCCTTTCCCTGTTCCCTACATGAAGTAATTGTTAAAATGGGTAATTAATACATATAAGTATTCCTAGGATTTAACCTTCATAATAGGAGGTAAGAGTCTATGAGTTAGTGAGAACTTAATGCTGTCTTCTGTGATTTTCTGTTTTTAGCTCATCTAATCCAGAATAATGAAGAAACAAGCAGGGAGAAAGAGCCATGGTTTTCTGCAGCTGGGACTTAAGATGGGATAGATGTCAACTGAAGGAATTTCTACTGATTCCTGGGCATACTTTCCCCAGATGCATTTGCATTGGGAAACAGGTGATGGTGGTTTCATGTGCTGGAGTTAACATCAGTAGACATTGGAGGTCAGAGCTACACGTAACAAGTCATGGAGCATGGGATCTTTTCATGTGCAATTCCTCATGCTCTCCTCCCATCCCTGGCTTGATATAGAGGAGGATGAAGTCTTGGAACATGGTCCTGCCACCAGATGGCCAGAGACTATGTCCTTTAATGACTGGGTGGAGCAGAGGCCAAGTTAACTTTGTTTGATTTTGATGTGAGCTAGTGACTGAGTCTTGTCAGGCTGCTATAGTAAGTCACCATAAACCAATGGTTTATTAACAACAGACATTTCTCAGGGCAAAGGGGAAGGAAGTGGGAGGGGTAGGGACAAGGAAAGAAGGCAATGGGATTAATATGAGAAAATGGAAAAATAGGAACAAAATCTTTGTAAATAGGAATGGAGGGGTTGAAGGGAGGGCTGGGCAAGGGTGAAAAATTAGAACCAAGAGAGAAAGGGAAATAAAGTCTTTTTATTTTTTTTGTATTAAATTCTTTTATTGGTATATTGTAGGTATACAACACAATTACATTTCTCATTGGGAATTGTACCTTTACATAATGCATCTTGGTTCTTATTTTTTTCCCATTCCTAGCCTTCTCTTCACGCCCTCCACCCTTCCCTATTTACAAAGACTTTATTTCCATTTTTTCCATTTCTCAGCATTTTTCCTTTCCCTTCTTTCCTTTTCCCTGTCCCTCCCACTACCCCTACTCCTTTGGACCTTTTCTTCCTATTTTGCATTATCAATTGTTCATTCTAATCATTGGTACATTTCAGGTATACAATATAATGACATTCATCATTGAAAATTTGCACCTTTACATAGTCTCTCTTGGTTCTTATTTTTCACCCTTGCCCAGCCCTCCCTTCAACCCCTCCATTCCTCCCTATTTACAAAAATTTTGTTCCTCTTTTTCCATTTTCTCATATTAATCCCATTCCCTTCTATTCTTTCCCCCAGCCCTCCCACTTCCTTCCCCTTTGCCCCTTTTCTTCCTATTTCACATTACCTATTATACATTTAGTCCTTATTTACACTTTCAGTTTCTCACACCAGAGAAACTATTCAGTATTTACACATGTGTGTCCTATTTATTTCACTTAAGAGTATTGCCTCAATGTACATCCACTTAGCTATAAATGTTGGAAATAAAGTCTTTGTGAATAGGGAAGGGTGGAGGGGGTGAAGGGAGGGCTAAGAATCGGGAAAAAATAAGAACCAAGATGCATCATGTAAAGGTACAAGTTCCCAATGAGAAATGTAAATGTGTTGTATACTTAAAATGTACCAATAAAAGAATTTAAGAAAAAAAATGTCCAGACATTTCTCACAATTTTGGAGGCTGGGAAGTTCAAGATCAAGGCATCAGCAGATTTGCTGTCTGTTGAGGGCCCACTTTCTTATTTATAGATGCCAGTCTCTTCACTCTGGGCTCACAGAAGAGTGAGGATTACTATCTGGTCTCTTTTTAAGGACTCTAACACCATTTATGCCCCTGTGACCCAATTACTGCTTGAAGTCTTTACTGACTAATATCATCAGTGTAGGGCTGAAGAGTTGTACAGGTGGATGTTCAGGGTACATAAAGATTCAGACCATAGTGTTGAGCAAATGCGTGATAAGTGGCTGCTGACATCTTCAGGTTTGTAGAACAGTAAGAGTGGAAGGAGACCGGAGAACAGGGATGCCTGGGTGAAGAGGGCAGCAGCTACCCAGCCAGCTAGACTGCTGCCCATGTAATTACCTCCCAAAGGCTTAGCTTCTTATTGCCATGAGGTTACAATTTCAACATATGAAACGGAGGGTAGGGGTCATGTGTATTCAATCTATCACAGAAGGCAGTGACTTCTTAATGTGCTTATCCACCGAGATTTGAAGGTGAGTTATTATATAGCTCTTGATGAAGGTCTATTTCCTAATATGTCAGGAGACCTCAATTTTCCAGCATATATTTCTTTTGTGTCCCAACCTGAAAGTTTAAGTCCCATATATGTCTACCTGGAATTCAGAACTATCTTCATCTTCGGTTAATGTAGCAGATACACCAAAGTCTATTTGCAGTAGATCATTTTATAGTCTTATAGGAAAGAATTTATCCTCAAGGATGTGATGTAGGAAGACAAACTTGCCTGATTAGAAAGAAGTGATATTGTAGGGCTGGGGATTTAGCTCAGTGGTTTTGCCACCTGCTGCACAAGTGCAAGGAACCGAGTTCTATTCCCAGTACTAAAAAAACCAAAACCAAAACCAAAACCAAAAAACCCAAACAACAACAAAGAAGAAGTGAATTGTAAAGAAAGTGTTTGCTGTGAATATGGTTTATGGCTTTTTTTTGGATTCATCCCTGACGGGATTCCAGGTGCCTGGGTGGGGGAGGGAGAGAGGGAGAAAGGACAGATGGAGGGAGAGAAGGAGGGAGAAAAGACAGAAGGAGAGAGAGAGAGAGACAGTAATCTACAATCTGTGTCTCTTTGCTTCTCTGTGGACACAAAGCCCACTTTTTCTAAGTGAAAGAAACGGCTCAGTTCTTGTTTGTCAGGGTTTGTAGGGTGTTCAAACATGGCTATGATCGGATGAGTATGCACCCTACCAGCTTTCCATCCAGAACGTGAAGTGAACAGTCCCATGGCCTCCAGTCCATCACTCTTCCTTCTGAGTGCTCATAGTTTATGATTGTCTGCTCCATGGGAAAATGGGTGGCTCAGTTCTGGGAAAGAAAACTTCTAAAGGGTCAGGCCTCAGGTCTTTCCATGTCCTCCATCAGAGGTTCTGTTGCCCTCTGCATGGTTGGAGTGGCAGAAGTCACATTCCTTAAGGAATCTCTTAGAGCTAGATTTTTTTAACCCCTAAAAAGCCATCCTAGGGTTTGGGATACTACTTCTCTTCACTTCAAAACATCACCTCCCTTTGCTCTTTCTGACTTATTTTGTCTTTATGGATTTGAAATGCAAAAGACTCACACTTCTTCCTTGGAGTGTGGTTGAGGAGGACGTAGACTTTTAAGAACATAAATGCTGGCATATGTATTGGAGGCAAAAGTGTGGAAACAGTTTTAAAAAATATCTTTGTAACACTATAGGAATTAATTAAAAAAAGCAATAGCAGATGAAACACAACTTTTCTTAACAATACATTCCATTGCAACTTCTTACTAAAATATTTAATATGTGGAAGTGGAGTGTCATATTCCTCTAGTATCCTGATGAAATTATCCGTGTTCCCCCTCATTGTCTCAGAACACCAGATATAATGGGCACTGTGATATTTAAGCTTCTATGTCTTATTTATTTCACTTAGCATTATGTACTCAAAGTACACCCATTTACCTACAAATCATTCAACTTTATCCTTTCTATGGCCGAGTAGTGCTCCATCATGTATAAATGCCATATTTTCTTTATGCTGCTATGAACATGGGTATGCATATATCTCTGGAATATGATGTCTTTAACTCTTTTAGAAGATACCTAGAGGAGGAATAGCTGGGTCAAATGGAATTTCTATTTTTAGTGTTTTGAAGACTATCCACACTGATTTCTGTAGTGGTTGTACTAGTTTACACTCCCACCAACAATGTAAACATACATTTTCTTCCATAATCATACTAATATTTATTATTTTTCTTTTTGTTGTTTTTCTTTTTGAGTTCTTGATCATAACTATTCTTTCTGTGGCCCTTCCTTCTTTCTGATCCATGTCTATCATAAGCATCTTGGATCTCCACTGCATCTCCATCTCTCTTCAGGGTACTAGTTGTAAAAAGAGGTTGTTGGGAAAGTGTTTTCTGCTAATTTCCAACACTCATTTTCTAGTTCCTTTTTCATGTACTATAACATCAGAAGAACAGGTTAGTACCTCCCTCCCCACTCCCTGGTCTGGCCATCTGTTCATTCCTTTCAACAGTGTTATTTGTCATGCACCACAGACTGAGATTCCTTTGAACTTTATTGTCCCTTCTGGAAGGGAACGAATGTTCCCTAGTTCTGTTTGCTACTAGGATTTTGTGTCCAGAGAAACAGCTCAGCCTTGCTTTAACTCTGCTACATTCCTTCTCAGAATCCTGCTGGTTTCCTCGTATTTGTCATGGTTTAGTCTGGCCTTGGTCCTAGCATACCTTTGTGGTGGATTGTTAGCTCACTGCTGGGCAAGTCCTAACAGACTTGTAAAAAGTAGGACTCTGAGCCCCCGCAAAATGGCTAAACCAGCTTAATCAGGATTCTTCGTCTGAATCATAGCATACAGAACATGATTAGAACAACTCTCTTCTCCATTCTTCTTACAGTAGAATGTTGAAAACAAGACATTTAAAAATTATGCCTACCAGTCATATAAGTCACACTCAGATAAACTAATATAATTCATTAATATTTATAAGACTTTTGATTATAACAATTTCACCTTCCTTAGATCCTACTTCCTCCCTCAACTTCCTTGACTTTTCTAGACTTTACTTCTGTACTCTCTATCATTTTCCATATTTAGTATACATTTTGTCATTTGATGAATTCATGTTTTCTATTATTGTCTGGTTTCACGTGTACTTTGTTTTCTCGCCTGAAGAAGTATTAATTCTGTGAGGGCAAAGGCATTACTTGGCACTAGAACTGAGAGTGTTGAATTAATATATGCTAAATTGAATTGATCCACATTCTCCTCTACTTTATTGACACAAGCTTTGGTTCTGGCATAAGGATTGACTATTGGTCAATGTGATGTTAAGATAATTCAGTAAACACAATATTTAGTTGTATCTGTTTTGCTTTTGGGAAAACTAGGGATTTATTCTTCCTCATCCCAACCCAATCAATCATAAAACACTGTCTTAAACCCATTAAGATTTGTTAAATTTGTCTCCTTTTCTCCACTGCTAGCACTTCTTCAGGTTAGGCCCAGGATCTTTTGAGGTAACTATAGGATCTTCTACTGGTTTTACTATCTTTGGTGTTATTTCTATGTAGCTGTTAGGTAAAA